CCATTTCTTTCTCCATTACGTTATTCTTGTAACAACAAGTCCCAGCTCCTGTTGATGTTTGGATCAGCCATTGGAGACAATCACTACAAGTTTGTAATTTTTACAGTATTATAATGCTTTGTGACTCAGGAATTATGAATTCTCTGTTATTTTTAAAATATATACTGCTGCACCAAAGTACTGAGGGATTCCTGATTAGTTGAACAACTGCCTTGCTGTGAATCATTTGCACAGTTCTTAAAACCACGTGTAGAAGAGATGAAATCCTGGCCCCGGGCAGGCTAAAGGAGGCCACACCTCATCCATGAAAATGGGGTCTCAGAACAGAGTATTGCTAGGGTACCCAGTAAGAAACTCAGCAGTAATTTATAAACTCATTGACATGGATATATAGAAATATTTCTAGTTTGTCAGAATAAATCCCACTATTCGTCATCAGCATAGTTATAGCCTACATCAATCATCAGCACTTCAGTCACCTTGTTCATTCTCACAGTCTGCTGATTCAGCTTTAAGTTTTATATCACTGATAGGAGTCTTTCAAAAAGGTCAGAAAAGTGCATTCAATGTAAGGACACTGGTTCTGTCTAATGGATCCTCAGTTACTGCTCCTCCAGTCAACCTCATTTCAGTCAAATTAACTACATTCCACAAAAATCTGTATCCTCATCCTTTGGATTTACACTGGAAATGATCATCAGGTTAGGATGGAAGAAAAAAAATAGGAGCAGGACCAAGTTTTCTCAGTGCTTATTTTCTAAGACCTTTATTTCATGTGTTCTATTCTCTGTGCTCGAAATTTGAGGCTGGGTAGTTACTGAAAAGGTGGCATAACCAAGGAATCACATTTGATGCAATGCAAAAGGGACGTTTTTCCAGCTGCAACCTAAACCAGAACTTACCTGACAAATTTTGATCCTCATTCAAATATTAGCTCTGAAATATGGCATATTTAGTCCCTTCCATCTACATTGCCTGTCTAGCAGCTATAGGCAACAAAATCTTGAACTAGTTCTGGTCTTGATCTCTTTCTAGAAAAGCTATGGCAACAGTGAAAAGAAAAACCACTTCTGTATTTATGACCTCATTTCTAATAACCAACTGCATTTTAACATTACAACAAGTAATACAGCATATTTCATTAAGTCCTGTTACAGGTACCGACGTGTTTATGGACCCATACTGTTGAAAAACTAAGATTCTGGAACTAATTTAACCCTACAATACTGAGCTTGGGCCAATTTTCTATTAAAGAATTATAGAATCATTTAGATTAGAAAATACCTTTAAGATCATCAAGTCCAATTGTTAATCTAGCACTGCCAAGTCCACCACTAAACCATGGCCCTAAGAACCACATCTACAGGTCTTTCAAATGCCTCCAGGGACGGTGACTCAACCACTTCCCTGGGCAGCCTGTTCCAACGCTTGACAGCCATTTCAGTGAAGAAATTTTTCCTAATATCCAGTCTGAACCTCCTCTGGCACAACTCGAGGCCATTTCCTCTCATCCTATCCCTTGTTACTTGGGAGAAGAGACCGACACCCACCTCACTACAAACTCCTTTCAGGTAGCTGTAGACAGCGATAAGGTCTCCCCTCATCCTCCTTTTCTCCAGGCTGAACAACCCCAGCTCTTAGCCTCTCCTCATAAGACCTGCTCTCTAGACCCTTCAAGAGCTTTGTTGCTCTTCTTTGGACACACGCCAGCACCTCAATGTCTTTCTTGTGGTGAGGGGCCCAAAACTGAACATAGTATTCGAGGTGCAGCCTCACCAGTGCCAAGTACAGGAGGACGATCACTTCCCTAGTCCTGCTGGCCACACTATTCCTGATGCAGGCCAGGATGCTGTTGGCCTTCTTGGCCACCTGGGCACACTGCTGGCTCATACTCAGCTGATTGTTGACCAATACCCCCAGGTCCTTTTCTGCTGGGCAGCTTTCCTGCCACTCTTCCCCAGGCCTGTAGCATTGCAGGGGGTTGTTGTGACACAAGAGCAGGACCCGGCTCTGAGCCTTGTTGAACCTCACACAACTGGCCTTGGCCCATTGATCCAGCCTGTCCAGATTCCTCTGTAGAGCCTTCCCACCCTTGAGCAGATCAACACTGACCCAACTTGGTGTCATCTGCAAACTTACTGAGGGCGTACTCACTCCCCTCTTCCAGACCATCGATAAAGATATTAGAGAGAATCAGCACCTGTGACTGGCCACCAGCTAGATTTAACCCCATTCACCACAACTGTCTGGGCCCAGCCATCCAGCCAGGTTTTTACTCAGCAAAGAGTATGCCTGTCCAAGCCATGAGCAGACAGTTTCTCCAGGAGAATGCTGCGGGAAACTGTGTCAAAGGCTTTACTGAAGTCCAGATAAACACCATCCACAGCCTTTCCCTCATCCACTAAGCTAGTCACCTTGTCATAGAATGAGATCAGGTTAGTCAAGCAGGATTTTCCATTCATAAGAACAGTCTTCTATGCTCTCCTTGTACTCTCTTAATTTGTATATCTGGAACTATTTTTGACTATTTGTGATATTTTCACGCATGTTGAGTGGAAGTGTGGTATTATTCACGACTTGCTGTTGGTAGTAAAGCTTCCCCAAGAAGAGCTTCTTAGTTCTGCTCAGTAGGTGCTAAGGTTTTCAGCCATCCTGACTACCACTAAGTGGGGGCTTCACAAGCTGGCACCGTCCCTCCACAGCAGTATCGTGCTGCCGCACCTTCCTGAAAGCTGTAAACAAGGTTGGTTGCAGAGTTACTTAAATGTTGTGACTCAAGAGTTGTAGCACTTAATAAATTAATATCAGTCCCACCATGTTTCATATATAAAATTCTAATCCAGATCAGGTGTCACAAAAACCTATGATGTGTTGCTGTTGCTTTACATGGACTAGTTTACATATAAACACTTCAAACCTTTCTTCTCCAACTTTCAGCGCTAGGTAGACACATAAGAGATTCAGAAGAGCTGAGCTCAGCCCAGCACTAGCTCCAAAAGGGGAAGGCGCTGTAAAGTTTAGCTCAAAGTTCACCTTATGTACATTTTTATTAGTAAAAACAAAAGCAGCCAGTAAACATTTTGAAACAGGTTATGCATTTGCATCCAAGCACTTCAGTAAGTGTGACAAATGTTGCCACCTCATGGACAGGTGCAGGGTTTGATTCACTCAGCAGTAGGAAGGAAAACGGATCGCGGAGATGACTCATTGCTGCCCTTTCACACTCTCCTGAGGGGGGGAAAGAGACAGCTTGGCAAGAAAGATGCTTTTGTTGCTTAGATCCACCTGGAACTCATTCACTTGGGTCTAAATCCACAAGCCTAGTTACATACCCACAAGTGGGGAAAAAAAAGAAAAAAAAGAAAAAAAAAGAAAAAGCTACACACGTTCAGGGTATTTGACCATCTCCAATATCAGAGCAAGGGGGGGGAAAGAGTGATGATTCTTCCTTGGAAAAAAACATAATGGTCAACAGAGGACATGGCACAGTCTTGTACAGTCAAAGGCCAGTATTCAGGAGTAAAATATCTGGAGTAACAGGCTGCGTGACCTGGAGTTTTCAAGAGGGTGACAGAAATCTTCAGATTCGTGAAGACGACAAGCCTAAGACACTGGACCAGGGGATTTTACATACCCCATAAAGGCAGCAGCAGTTGGGAATCCTCTACTTGTAAACTGGAGACGAATGTAATTGTAGTGTATTCCATCACAGATTTCCAAAGCTCAAGTTTCATGTTATAACACCACATTGATCATTCGCTATTCTGCCACTTCTGGGGAACCACCGCAGGAATACTTTGTCACCTGTTGAATCTCTCCCTTTCTAATGGAAAGACAGCTGTGCCATCCTCCTCTACAGTACAGATACTGTTATAAAAGCCATTACACAGTGTGTATCTTAAAGTACGTTCATTCCAAATAGCATTATAATTAGCACTTAATATAACTGTATGACTGTAAAAGGACTATAAAATGTTTGAACATTCCCAGGCACAGCAGAGCAAGCAGCAAAAGCAAAAAGCAGCCACTAATGAGCACTAGACTCTAATATACAGTCAGGCAAGTAAGCCCTATGGCAAGCACAGGAGCCTGTCAATTAATAGCTAATAACAGCTATAGAATTGATCTAGCACATTCCAATCGAATTTGTCATTCTCTCAAACCCTTCAAGCACTGTGTTGGGTGCCAAAAAGGACTGTTATGGTTTAACCTCAGCTGGCAATAAGACCCACACCACTGCTCACTCACTCCTCCCCCCTTCCCGTGGGGTGGGGGAGAGAATTGTAAAAGTGAGAAAAGTCATGGGTTGAAATAAAGACAGTTTAATAGTGAAAGCAAAAGCCGCACATGCAAGCAAAGCAAAACAAGGAATTCATTCACTCCTTCCCATGGGCAGGCGGGTGTTCAGCCATCTCCAGGAAAGCCGGGCTCCATCACGTGTAACGTTTACTTGGGAAGACCAACGCCATCACTCTGAACGTGTCCCCCCCCTTCCTCCTTCTTCCCCCAGCAATATATGCTGAGCATGACATCACATAGTATGGAATATCCCTTTGGTCAGTGGGGGTCAGCTGTCCTGGCTGTGTCCCCTCCCAACTTCTTATGCATCCCCAGCCTGCTCACTGGCAGGGTGGTGTGAGAAGAAGAAAAAGCCTTGACTCTGTGTGAGCACTGCTCAGCATTAGCTAAAACATCCCTGAATTATCATCACTATTTTCAGCACAAATCCAGAACATAGTCCCATCCTAGCTACTATGGAGAAACTTAACTTTATCCCACCCAAAACCAGCATACCTTTCAAGTTTGACAGTGGGACAGAACTTCAAGAATCAATTATTTTTTTAAAAATAAACTTTGTAAAAATAGACTCATAGTCAACATTTATGAAAAAAGACAGTACGGTGATTAATTGGGAGTTTCCTGTCATCGTGATCTCCATATAACAGTGTAACAGTCTGTCTACATACAACTGAAGAGAAAGATGGATTTACACCAGCTTGTTTTTAAATAAGTTCTTACGTTTATTATATTTTGCTATTCCACTCTCCTAAAATGGTGGCCTCAGGAAAAGCTGCTTTGGCAGGCAATTGCAAAGATTCCTGTGGAGAGGAAGTGAAAAGACTGGGCATACAAACAAGGGCTGCTGCCATGTTCAAAGCACTGGGGAGAGTTCATAGAACAAAATGCAGTCCTAAGTAAATGGGTTTCAGGCAATTTCAGTGTTAAGATAACATCATTAAGAGTAGAACAGATTGTGCTCAGACCCTGCTGTTTATAATTAACACATTGCTTCCATATACTCCAGGGTCCCTGGTAAATAGTCCTCTGCTCAGATCCACCCAGACCAATCAGAGTATTTTCATCAGGTTCCATGCTGGGCCAGCACCTGTTTGGACAAATCCAAAAGAGCCAAAATACTCTTCTTTCTGGCCAGCTAAGTAGAGAGATGAACACAGCTTGCCTTAGTCACTGTCACAGTGTCCATATGGCTGTGAAGCTTGTTTTCACAAGAAATCGTACAAGTACTTTATTATGTCGAAGTTCACGGTCCTATAAACAAAAACACAGTATATTAGAGCAATCATCTCAACAGTGCTAAGACTTTAACCTGTTTGGAGACAGCACACATGGGACATTCTGCACAATCAAAATCAAGCAATATCCCCAAAAGAAATGCAATCAAGGATGATCGAATTTTTGAACTTCTAGTTGTTATTTATAGTACCTGTCTTCTGATTATTTAAACTCTCTAATATTCTAAAAAAGAAGTAAAGCAGCTTTCTAGTAAAAGCTAGAAGATTCTTATTTTGATCATCAGGCAGTAAAAATATATCAAAGTCAATAAGACTACATTTTCATATGGCAAACATGATACTCTAGTTGGTGATGCAAAGCAGCAATCTTCTATGCTATTGAATGTTTTGAATGTTTTATTCATCTTCCAAACCACCTGTTTTATCACGTACTACGTAACTTCTTCATCTGCACTCATTTGCAGTTTGCATTCTTTCAGTCTTGACACTAGTTGACCCATGTTCATAGCTAAATTTGAAAAATCCAAGAATGCCACTCAATGGGATAGAAGATTTTAATGTATACTTTTGTACTTTAATGGCAGGCAGAATGAAACAGCAGTAGAACAAAACATGTAATTATTTCTTCGTCTCCAAACTCTTTCTGCTATATAAACTAACACTCAGACTTTGAGGTTTACTGTTTGAATAAATAATGCAAATTACTGCATATAATGACAAGTATAAAATTAAAAGTTTTTTTTAAAAGTATTCAATGATGCAAAAATAACTGTTCACAATGCTAAGTGAGATTAACTGTCTGAATGTCTTATTTGTTAGACTCCAACCATTTAATATTCTCTTTTCATGCCTCGTTCTGTAACCCACTTTTCAAAAAGTTTCTATAAATCATCATATTGGATAGAAAAAAGTTCAGAAATCCCCAAGATACATAACAAGAAACACTGTGTTTTGAGTCCACTTAATAATCCAGTGACAAAATTAAAGAAATTAACTGCTACTGTTAAGACTCGCATGGCATTGTCAATCTAGAAAAGTGCTTTAGTTACAAGGCTTTCCACAGAAACAAAAAATCACACACTCTAACAAATGCTGACCTTATCAACCAAATGAAACAGAATTGTCCTGTCATAATAACTGGGTTCATTAGAGACTGTATGAAAAGATCCACTACATTCGACAAACATTAGAGATCTCTACTTCAGCTACAGAAAATTTATGAACTTAGGTCTGAAATTCCTAAAACAGAAATTTAAAAATTCTAACAAAGAAACATCTAGCCTTAGCTATAGCCAATCTTGTAAATACTATTTGGTAAAAAGCATGGGAATGTCTCTACAAGGACAGAATACATGCAATAGAACATGAGGTTCTGTGATACTAAAGGAAGAGACAGGCAGCAGTCATTACCCTAAAAGTCACCAGGAAGAGATGTAAGTTTTCTACTACTCTTTTCAAAAAACAGGTGGCTTTTTTTAAAAAATGCAAATTTCACTTTTGCTTAAAAAAATACCGGAACATGAAATGACAATCTGAACAGCTTGAATGGGAGTGGGGAGCAGAGGAAGAGAGCATCATTTTCTCTCCCGCTCTTTGCACTCTTCAGCCTTCCATTAGAAATATGCTAAGTAGCAAGGCTGAGGTATCTGAAGTTTTCAGTGACTAACAAACTTATTTCAGTATTATTACAGTAACAGAGAAAAAAGAACCTGGAGATGGGCTGCTTACTTGATGAGTATTTTGGTTGAAATGGCAAAGTGATAAATATAACCTGCAACAAATATAACCTCCGCAATAAACATAACCTCTCTCATGAGTGGTTAAAAACTACAGGCAGCTGCAAGACTATAGCACAGCTAGAAAATGAAATTTCTCGCAGCACAGATGATTATGCCTTCAGCCTGTAGCCATCCTCATCAAGACAAGGAGGAAGCCCATTTGTCATGGGTTCATGAAACCTCGTATCTTTATGGATCATTCTCCTTAAAGATTTAACAAAGACTGTGGGTTGGAAAAGATACTTAATAAAAGTGTAACAAAGGAACAAAGCAAGGGGGAAAAAAAAAGCTGAACAGGAGAAGAGTAAAACAGGCCAACTTTAAAATCTGTCTGGTCATTTAAATGGCCTTATTTATGCAGCATATAAACTCTTCCAAAATAACTTGAGGTGAAAAAAAAAAAAATTGCTTTCTTCCTCATAACATGCAGGAAAAGTCAGTCAGTCAGGATACACACACACACACATCTGACCTAAAGGGAAGCAAGACAAAGCACTATACTGTGCACTGAGGTTTGAAGCGATAGTGTCTCCAACAAAAACTTTCTCTGGTAAGAATGAGCTGCATAGCACAGGTTTTGGTCCTGTTTTCTGGCTATCTCTATCTTCCGGCAACTTTAATGGAGTTAACAAAACTTCTAAGGACGTTAAAGTTGCAAGGAGAGGGCTGTCATTTCAAGTATCTTAATTCAAGAACCCTTATAGTCAGTACAGATTTTATGAACTGGTCTCCATATTCACCGTAGGAACTAGAGCAGAGACAAGAACTTGGGGATGTCTGTACACACATGATCCATGTTGCTGAGCAGATGGTCCACTGTACTTGGTACCAGTGGGAACTTCTTCAGGGCATCATTCACAAGTGAATTTATTGCTGGGAATAGCAAATTGACATAGTGAAGCCGTGGAGATCCTGGCAGTGTGGTCCAGCCAGGACTGAACCAGATGAAGTTTCATACAACAGCCTGTCCAACTGCAAATTGGAATTAGTGTATCTGTGGGGTTTACTGATAGGGCTATTGGACATTTAATAGCTCAGGAGAGCAACATGTGCAATGGGGTTATGGGATACGGTCTACACAGGTTCCTCTGAAGTCTCACATTACAGAGAAGAGTTGGCCTTCAGAATGCTTCTCCCCCTTTTCGCCACATGTCATTTCTGGGCTCTGTTGTGGCTACAAGTTCTTAATCCAAGACCTGATAATAAGCTGGCTGCAGCAACAGATGTGAGGTAATGCTGTCGGCAGTTCATAAAAATGAGACATAGGCTTGATTGCTGCCTATATATTGCATGCATTTCTGTCTGTAATTTATCATCACATCTCCCAATGGACCTGGAACTGCTCTCAGACTCCAAAATTGAAGGCTCTGAATGAACAGAGCCACTGAGTTACCTACATGCCTTTATCGAATTAGTTTGCATCAACTACAGATCCCACAAGATAGACTATGTGGAATTCTTCTAACCTAAGTTTTTATATCGTACGTACAACAAACACTTAAGAACTAAATATAATTTCAGATTCAAATACCATAATGTGCCTTTGGTAATGAAATGGACTGACAATTTAGAGTGGTGTTTGCACATGACGTCCCTGACCTTTACTAAGCACAAAGACATTACGTTACTGTAACACATATTGCCACTGTAAGATAATTTTTTTTAAAACAGAATTGGACTAAAATTATCTCAAGTTTAACACTTCTCATAAATAAGACTCATTCACTCATTCTTAGTAAACATCCATAGATTTCTGTTCTGGTCTGCAGAGAGCTAATGACTGTGCAAATACTGGTTTTGAAGTCTCTTTCAAGTCAGCAAATACAACTGTAAATGATCTCTAATAGGCTCACCGGGCAATAGCTCTGATGAAGTCCAGAGACACAGCACATTTATATCGTGGTCCATCGAGCTGGTCATTATGGCCCACCATGGCTAACAGCTGGAGAGTCACAAGAGAGGTGATCTATGAACAAGAGACATTAGTAACATTAGTCATTTTTGTTAATGTGAATAGCAGTAGCCAATTGTTTTTTTTCTGTTTGTCATTGTTCCCATATTTCTCTGGAAAGTCACTCATACTTGCTCACTAATTTTCACACAGTTCTGCAGTTGGCAAAACCAGGAATGTACATACATTTTCACCATTACATTTTCAGCACAGGCAGTGAGAGACACAGGCTAAACCCTATATTCTTTTTGTCATCCTGGAGTTCTGATCAGAGAGAGAAAGGCAATGTGGGGAACAGGAATAATATAAGCTGAACATTTTCCAAATCTCTGCCTGACAACCAGGAGAGACTTTGATTCTCTTTCTTTTATACCCAAAGACCTCCTCTTGAACTTTCACACTCAAAAGTTGGATATTCCTGTGCCAGCTCATACCACATTTTGAACAGATGGATGTATCACTCTACTCTAGATAAAAAAGAATTTGAAGGTTGGAAAGGAAAGGCTGGAAGATTGTGTGCTTAAAAAGAGCAGAGCCTGAAAGGAGAAATTTGATGTTTAACCTTAAACAAGACCTGAAACACATTTAGGAGACAGCTACAGGAATATGCTGGTTTGGACATCCCAAGGATATTCAAAATTCTCAAGTGCAAAAGAAATTTGCCTAAAAATATGCATACAGTGTCTTGTCTGATTATTTTACCAAATAGCAATGTACCAGCATATTTTTCACTATCTTTGTTCCTCCAAATGATGACTGTCATATCACTAAAGTGCAGCCGTGGGATGTCATCATGTCCTCATTTTGGCTCAATTAGAGTTAATTTTCTTCCTAGTAGCTGCTGTAGCACTGTGTTTTGGATTTAGGATGAGAATAATGTTGATAACACACTGATGTTTTAGTTGTTGCTGAGCAGTGCTTACACTAAGTCAAGGACTTTTCAGCTTCTCATACTGCTCCTGCCAGCGAGGAGCCTGGTGGTGCACAAGAAGCTGGGAGGGGACACAGCCAGGAGAGCTGACCCAAACTGGCCAAAGGGATATTCCATACCATACGGTGTCATGCTGAACAATAAAACTGGGGGAGCTGGCTCGGGGTGCTGCTCAGGGACTGGCTGGGCATCCGTCAGTGGGTAGTGAACAACTGCATTGTGCATCACTTGTTTTGCATATTCTTTTGTCATTATTATTATTTTCCTTTCCTTTTCTGTCCCATTAAAATGTCTTTATCTCAACCCATGAGTTTTACCTTTTTTCCAACTCTCTCCCATCCCAGTGGATGGCAGCAAGCAAACAGCTGTGTGGTGTGTAACTGCCTGCCGGGTTTAACCACAACACAATGTTGGGTGCATCCAGCCTGTTCTGCCTCAGTTAGGAAAAAATTCTGTGGTGACTCCACTGCCTCCCTCTCAGCTCCAAGGGGAAAGAAAGAGGTAAAAGCAGAGAACTAGAAAAATTTTCCCTGGCCGTCGCTACAGATGCCACTGACAATTCAAAGCAACAAGGTTACATTCTATGAAGAACTGGTATCTGAACACAGCTCTACCTTTCAAAAAAACCCAGCCAACCATGACCTATCTCTGTGTAATGATAACAGCATAGTAAGGAATTTCTGAAGAATAAATATATCAAGAAAGTGAGTGTCAGTTCAAACCTTCAAGGAAGCACATTGCTATAAAAAGTAGCAGCAAGTTCTTACCAGTATTAATCAAAATAAAAAATCCTAACTCAGTAACAACCCTACTTTTGTGCTGAAAGTGAACTTGGTCTTCAGATTTGTGACAGTGCTTGCAGGAGGTAGGAATAATTATTAAAGTTTTCCTTTCAGTGGACATAGTATAAAAAAAAACCTGACACCTACCTGTGGAGAATAGAAAAAATTACAGCCACCACGAATGAGGCAATTTTTATAACAGCCTATGCTTATCTTTCTTTTATATGGCATTAGAGAACAATAGTTTGGATGTCATCTTTCTGCAGTCTTTGGAGTTTGGTTAAGGAATACTGGCCTACCCATATTCACAAGGACAAATTCCATTTACTTAATTCAGATCTATAAATTACATTAAAGAGTAGCACATGATTTACAAATTGTTAGCATTGACAGCACTTAAGAAAACTGAACTCAGTATATGGTGAATGGCTCAAAATCCAGTTCATGAATCACTTTGCACATATCACTGAATTGGTCTCAACCTCAAACTTGTTAGGTGTTGATTTTCTTAAAATACTCACGAGTTTGAGAGTACATTTTTTGACATTCTTCATTCAACAAAGTCCTTACTCAGACAGTGATGAAACATTACAGAGTAATCTGCTGTAACAATTGCTATTTTACACCCCAGTGCACCATTACTGGCAAATCACTTCTGCAATACCTACTTGCAGCTGGCCTCACATTCAGAAATTACCAACGAAGGAATGGCAGGAGGCTCCTAAAAGCTCCCAACAAGCACAGCAAAAGCCTAGGTAGTTTGGAGTCGGACACATCTCGGTTTTATGTGGGATATAAAAGTGACCTTGCTGCTGCATTACAAATGCTCCAGCAATACTTTAGCAACAAATTGTAACCATTTTCTTTTCCAACTAGCACCAAATGTTGTGTGTAACATAAGGTTGGCAACACAAAATTCCTTACTAAAGACTGACTCAATAAATCTGCAATAGCATTGGACTACATACTAAGTCTCATTAATGTTTCTGACTCAAGACATTAGCTCTAAAGACTCAATATACAGTATTGCAAGACAAATGAAGTTAGTGATCATCAGAGCTTGCAAACTCATTTAGTAAACTGCAACCCTTTACTTATTTTATTCACAAATCCTCTATTTATTTAACTTAATAAAAATGTTATCACAGGGAAGTTAGAGCTGAAACAGTTAGTCCTGATCCTGAGAGTGCTTAGAAAGACAAGTAGACAGAACTGCCACTTTCAATTCACACAGGTAAGAAACAGTTTTATCTCCAAAGAGGCTTAGTATAGACAAGGAGAAGGAACCTATATCTAAGGGGAGTAAACAGGGACCAGCTCCCCTTAGATATAAGATATTTGTCTAACAGACAAATGTTAGAAGCGAAAATAACTAATTTGTGAGTCTTTGGAGCAGAATTCAAAAACTAGTTACAGATGCCTAGCCTGCACATGGAGAAAGGCATTTGTAGCAAAATTTTAAAAATCACCAATTTTGATGTTCTGTTAACTCCCAATGTCCAGGTGCCACCTATAACTTCAGCATCGAAAAAATGCAACTACTTCAAAAGTTCAGATGCTGTAAAATTTTGGAGGCAATTTGTTCTTAAATGAAGATGCATCAAAAGTTTGAAACACAGTTGGGAAAAATATGAATGCAACGTTAAACTAATTGCACTTTTTAGTAAAAAACAAAACAAAACAAACCTTTTCAAAGCTTCCCCCCCCACTTAATACCATGGGTACAGTGGCTCTATACCATTATGACAAAAGCTTAGGAAAAAACATCTGGCAAGAAGAGACTAGAAACAAGCCAGAAAAACTGTGTGGGTGACATAAGTAAGAATATTTACTGAGAATCTTTTGAACAAAAGAAATTACAGTTGGAAGAAATATTCTAAAGGTATTCATAAAATTAAAGTTAGATCTGGTAACGATTTAATACCAGCAAAAGGTAATAAGGCAATGGAATTTTCTACAGGAATAACAAGAAAATCTGAAGAAAATTATGTAAACAATGTGAAGGAATAGGTGTCACTAGTATGCTTAAAAATAAGCCATGGCTGAACTTTCTTTGAAATACATTTTTGTGAGAAACCTGCTGCTGAAAGTTTGGATGCAAGGGGAGAATAATCATAAAAGCATGGCAGAGAGTTGCTACCAGGAGGAATGATTGCTCAGATTGCTTCTAGAGATTCACTGGTCAAATATGGACATTGAAACCTCTGGAGAAAAATAAGAAACCCACAAGCAATCCTCAAAGGCTGCTTTTTTCCTATCAGCCCAGACTAACAGATGGGCTTTGCATCATTCCCTGAGCAGACACAAAGACCGGCTTTGTCAGCACATGGCTGCGTGGAAGCGAGAAGAATTCCAGAAGTGAGGGCTGTCTGCTGAGAAAGGCCAGGCTCTTCCCGACGACACCATGAGAAACCAGAAAACATTCGTGGAGGTGCAAAACATGAGCAGAATTCAGACCCAAGATACAAGGAAACACATGGTTAGTTTGGGAAGCAATTATTGACTATCGCAGGAAAGAGTCTGGACAAAGTGTGTGACGCATTTATCCACATTATAAAACGAAACAGAAAAAATGATGCTGAGTATTAGGAAAAAAAAAAAAAAAAAAACCAAACAAGCTGTTTCCTCAGAGATGTGATTGAAATCTCACCAAGTGGCACATTTAAACTATACTAGAAAAACATTAACGAAAGACATTAGCAGGGACAATTTCAAACTGGCAGAGACATACTAGACGATCTGCAAAGCATCTTTCTTCTCTACACTCTATAATATTCAATTATCTTGCCCAAGATGCAATGTTAATTGTAACTCTTCAGTCTTTCTTTCAGTCGACTTTCACCCACGGCTTTTTCATTCTGAACCTCAAACCTATCAAGAAATCAATAACTTTCCGTATTCGGTACCATCAGACAATGGTACTATATTCTTTCACAATCACACTAACTTTTATGCACCCTAGTTCTTTGCAACACCACCATCACACGACTGAAAGCAAACATGCAGCTCACTGCACTTGTTCAGAACCCACCGCTGCCAGGAGTTATATTCATGCACGTGCAACAAGACCATTTGAAAACCAGATGCCATTTAGAAAACACATTTCAGTCAAAATGACTGGCGAAATAGTCTCCTGGAAGTTAAATTCTATGACCCTAGTACAAATTATTTGAGTATAAAAAAAAACCTGCTCAAAAGGATTTCAATCAAAATTACAGCTAGAATATGCTCAGTATGTCAGCCTTGTTAGAAAAGCTTGAAATAGAAAGGTAAGAATAGAACATCACAATTATATTTATAAA